TTGGTAAAGTTAATTAGTAATATTTCTCATTCCTATACAACTACGGGTTGTGTGATGAGCTGGGTTTTTTTTTTTTAATCAAACCTCGACTGTACGAGGGATATTTTATTGATAATGAAAAAAAGTTATACCTAGTCAAGGGTTGACATAAACCTTACCCCTCATAATACCAAGAAAAGGAGAAAAAGAACATGAATAAGAAGGGGGGGGACATAAACCTTACCCTCTAGAGGCGGGGACATGAAACCTAACCCCTCTAAAGCCAAACCTAAAAGGTCTAAAACTTGCAAAACAAGTCAAACAATAACACCACAAGGTTAGGAAAAAACAAGAAATGAAGACATACCTGCATGGCGAGATGCACATTAGTTTGAGAAGTGGAAGCCAGACACGCCTACATAGTTTGAAAACAAAGCATCACGAGCTGGCGGCGGAGGGGGGTCATGCCACACCAAAGTTGGAGAAGACAAGTCCATGTTAGCAAATTTATTTGCAACAACATTTCCTTTGTGATATATGTGAGAGGCGTAGAAGGTCATATTCCGAATGCGGTCCAGACAAATAGACCATTGTGTACGAAGAGGCCAAGGAGGATCAAAATCGGTTGATTGGATAGCAGAAGAGTCACCTTCCAACCAAAGGCAATGCTAACCCAGCTGATATGCAAACTCGACACAATAATAGTTGCTGATAATTTTGCAAAAAATGAGTTGCAATGACCAATCCATTGATAAAAACCACCAAGAAACTAACCATGGCAATCCCTAAAAACTCCTCCACATAAAATTATAAATGAAGTGTGATGAGAATATAAGAATCTAATTAGTAAGGTGATTGGTGAGTTACATTTTGGATTTGTATAACCATCAATGTTTCTATGCTGATTTCATTATTATGTGATTTTCAGTTAAAGACTAATTTTGTTTTCCTATCATGTTCACTTAGAGGTGTTATGCTAGAGTTGGAAGGCACTATAGTGGTAGAATTGCAATCCGCTTGACATGGAAAGGTAGTCTTCGTGCAACCACTCTAACCAAATACTTTACTAATGCTTTTCAACTATTACAATAATATTTGTGATATATTTTTTTACGTCTTTTAGATTTGTTTACCTTACGAATGCAACGATTAAGGTGTTACAAATTTCGAGGATGAAATTTATTTGAAGAAGGGTAAATTGTAATACCCCGCATTAAAAAAACAGAATATATATATATGTGTGTGTGTGTGTGTGTGTGTGTGTCTAAGTAATTATTTTTATTTCAAATGTAATAACTGTATTGGATTTCTTTATATATGCTATGAGTACAAAAGAAAACCCTCGTATTTTGTGATATATTTTTTTACGTCTTTTAGATTTGTTTACCTTACGAATGCAACGATTAAGGTGTTACAAATTTCGAGGACGAAATTTATTTGAAGGAGGGTAAATTGTAATACCCCGTATTAAAAAAAACAGAATATATATATATATATATATATATATATATATATATATATATATATTGTGTGTGTGTGTGTGTGTGCGCGCGCGCGCGCACGCGCGCGTGTGTCTAAGTAATTATTTTTATTTCAAATGTAATAACTGTATTGGATTTCTTTATATACGCTATGAGTACAAAAAAAAACCCTCGTATTTTTGGCATGTAAGTTAGTAGGAATTCTTTCACTACAAGAATAAATTAAGGCCTGACTAGTACTTTTAAGACCCCGTCTGACGAGTTTTGCCCGACTATTCTTTTCTGACGAACCTCTGTCGAGTAAAGTTTCCAGCGATGAGTCCTCCTTTTAGCCAACAAAGATTTTCCCTCTGGCAAAGAGGTTTTTTTATTTTTTATTTTTTTATATGTGTGTGTGTGTAGTGTGTACTGGAAATATGCATGTAGCTGCTTGAATTTAGTTGATTGTTGTTATCATTCATTATTGTGTTTACACCTCTTGAGAAAAATAATTTCTACAGGATTTTTGCCCAAACGATGTCTGAATTTGCATCACATGTCAAGAGACATGCTAGTTTGATCAAAATAGGGACTAGTAGTGGAGCCCACTTCACATCGAACATCACCGATCGGAACCGTTTATTTTTCAAGTTGCATTTTATAGATTGTCCTTGCAAAATATTAGCCAAATCGAAGATGTTCGAGGCATCTAATTGAGTTCAAAGAAATTGACGAACACTATGTTCCAAAAAACATTGAAATTTTATTATGACATTCAAATGAGTAAATGGTTTCTGATTGACTTGATTTTTTTCAAGGATGATCTATAAATGAAGACTTACAAAATAGACGGTTCGGATAATTGAAGTTCGTTGTATAATTGGCCCTATAACCAGTGGCGGATTCAGGATTCGAACATCGGGTGGTCCTAATCAAGCTACGCTAGGTCCAAGTCGGGCGGCGGGATGGGGCTTAGCGCCTATGCGCCTTGACGAGGCCTAGGCAGGGGCATAGCCATGTATTCGGCGGATTTAAGTAAATTATTATATATCATATATAAATAAATGCCTATTTACACTTAAAAACTGTACTTGTATTGAGAATTTGAGTTTATTATTTTAATTAGGTTTATTATTTAACATGTAACATACAAAATATCAAAAAAAAACTCTTTAGTATTTTTGTGAATTTGATGGTACGAGATGAAAGTTAAAGTGATTACGAGTTCATAATACACGAAATATTTTTCAAAGTTGAAAAGTTTTTTATCACCTACTGGCTCACTTTACAACCAACCCCAAACTTTTAAAATCTCACATACAGTACAGTAACCTAAACAGTATATCAACATTTGATAAAGTTTAAGAATAATAACTCCAACTCGCTTGAAGAACTCAAAATCTATATCTATACTTATCATACATACTATTAATTAATTTCAAAAAATTGACAGGTCGTTTCTTTTAATTTCAAAATGGCGGATGTCGTTTTTATTTAATGAAAGGATAAACAGTGTTGTCTTGTTCAAGATTTTTAACTGACAGCTTTTTCTTTCCCCGTTTTCTTCCTTGCCCTCGCGCTCGGGACTATGAATGAATCTACCCCTGCCCCTAACTAGTCCCCATTTTTACAAAAAAAAAAAAAAAAAAAAAAAAAAAAAAAAAATTACTGAAGATCCTCTTGAGATAGGTAGGACTAACATTTTCAATAGGCGCATGCACTTTTATATAAAAAGGGACATTATATTGTATCTGGATTTTATGGCTAAAGACGTACATATGAATACAATATAGGATATTGACGCATCATATGTTGCATGTTGTATTAAATGTTTTGTTGATTGTGGACCTGCATGAGCTTACAAAATGTATTATTTACTTGATTCTTTGTATTCGAAATAGCGAATTTGACGGTTAACAAAAAGAATGCTACTACACCCACCCTAATGTCTTATTTTCCCACCCTAATTTTTATTAAAATTTTAATGACTAATTTATCCTCTCATAAAATAACATATAAGGACATGCAAAAAGGCAATGCTTCCGTTTCAGTCTCATTCGAGCTCTCTCAGTCATTTCTGAAACTCCAACCTCCATATTAATGGACAATGCAATTGTGATCAACGTTATGAAGCGAACTGGATCTTGTGGACAGGTGACTCAAGTGAAGGTCAAGTTTCTATTACTTTATGTCGGTTAATGGCGAGGAGAGAGGAAGGGGATGAGGCATTTGGAGGGAAGACGATTATTGCGGATTGAGATGCCATTGCAGCTGCCACTGCCAAACCCACTAGGCGATGCTAGGAGGTGGTATCTTTGATTGGGATTGGGATTGGGATTTGATTTGGATTTGGAGGATGGACATATCCATTGGCAACCAGTTTTGATTCCACTTTTGGTACTTCGTTTCTTGCCTTGCCTTCGCCTACATTTGCTTCTGTGGCTCTGGGCACTTGGGCACCAACCAAGCACAGGCAGGGCATGCAAATTGCAATGGAAGTGCAAAGTATGTGTATGATTGTATCAAAAGTGACCGGTGAGCTCGGCTTTTTCCTTTCTATTTTGTTTCAAAATTATTTCATATTTGGAAATTCAAAGAATTGAAAACAGAATGGAGGACATGTTACTGGAAGTCTGGAAGGAAATCAGGCATTGATATGATAGTATTTGGGGGTTTTTAAGCGATCAGTAACGATGGGATATGAGGCCATTGATCAAGGTGTTGGGGGTAAGGGCGCTTTGGGAATAACAGTGGGTGGAAAAATAGTGTGGTTTTCTTTTTACTTTTTTTGTTGGGTGGGAATAAAAGGTGGGTGAGAAGATCAGATATTGAGATGAGTATAACACCACTCAACAAAAATGACATATAAATTATAATATACCGAAAATGTCCTATCATACTCTTATGCGTCAGCCCGTGACATAAGTCGGTGGATGTTCACGAATGGGGAACAAAAATAAATCCTGATTTTTTGGCCGAAAAAAAAAGAAGATATTATCTTTGGGCCAGAAGTTATGAGTTTCCGTTGTGGGCCAGAGCCCAGAGACTTCGGCCGGTTCGTTCTTAACAGAAAGGACGACGTCGTATCGCCCTCCTCTTATACTGTTCTGTTCCCTGTTTGGCAGATCGGATAGAGGATCGGATAGGACTAATTATACGAACGCGGGTGTTTGGCGTTCACTCGTACTAAATAAGCGCCGGATTAAATTAACCGGTGTGCTTATTTAGTACGGTATACACCGGACTAATAAAACCAACCAAAAGGCCCGGATTATTAGTCGGCCCTCTCTCTCTCTTGCCTTCTCTCGGCCTTCTCTCTCTCTCTCTCTCTCTCTCTCTCTCTCTCTCTCTCTCTAGGCGTCGTTGTCCTCCCCCCCCGTCACCTTCTCTCACCATCGTCGTCCTCCCCGTCGCCGTCGTCGTCCTCCCCTGCAACTGGGTCTTGCAAAGAAGCATGCACTCTCTTGCCCGGCATGGTGTCTGGGAAACCTCTCTTCTCAAAACGCCAACAAACTACTCTCCTTCTCTCTGTCAAACCGCCGCCAGTCCATTCCACTTGCGATGCTGCAGTGCAGGAGGTAACCTTGTCAACAAATCGTTAGTTTGTTTCGTTTGTTGCATCTTGATTTGGGTTGATGTGGATCTGATGACTCATGGTTGCTCACCAAATGTGCAGGCAGGCGGGGAAGAAGAAGGGAGAGAGAAGGAGGGCGTTTGAGGGGTTCGGCGGAGAGAACAGGCAAGAAGAAGGGATGGTTTCAGATTTTATTTTTATTTTTATAAGTTTAATTTAATTTTAAGTTTGATTTAGCCTATCCGGTATAAAACTAAACACAGTATAAATAATACGGTCATTAATCCGATACTGCACCAAACGCCCGACTAATTTAGTCAGTACTATCCGGTGGCTATTTATCCTATCCGACAGAAATAGTCAGTACAGTCCGAGCTGCCAAACGAGGCCTTAGTGTTTCCCTCCATTTTCCACTTTCTACTTTACGAAGCAAGAAGCAACGCTGCAGAGAGAGAGAGAGAGAGAGAGAGAGAGAGAGAGAGAGAGCTCAGGAGTCGGGAGTGACGATTCGCAGTCGCACCTCTACAATTTCGTCCCGAACCGAAAACGATCAACACCTGTAAGCTCCTTAGTCCTTATCTCAGATTCATTAATTCCTGATACAGTTAGTTTGTAGTTAGATTTTTTTCTTGGAATTGAATTTTCTTGATGAGAATATTTTCGAGAATCGAATTGCTTGATTGATTAGGAGAATCTAAGTAGATAGTGTAATGCACTTCCTTCGTGTTTGATGCGATGAAGCATTTCTTGAACTGGAGGAAATTGTTGCGTTTTTTTTTAATTTTTTTTTATTACAGCGTTGCAATTTTTAATTGGGGCAATTCTTCTTCAATTTAGGGTTGAAAATTTATGTCTGCACTATAGCCTCCCAGTTGATAACATAAAATCTTGTATAAGTAAGATAGATTAAAGAAAACTTAGGAAACGACCAAGAATTGGGTTTGAGGACCACTCATTTATGGAATATATATGTATACTGTATTTGTAGATTAAGAATTTGCTCCTGCACTTTCCTGGATTAATGATAAAATTCATCTTATGGTAGTTAATGATGAGAAGGGCAAGGAGTTGATTGTGTGACTGTATATATCTTGAGAGCATGCTCGAAAGGAGAGGGATGTCGAGGGAGTAGAAAGTACTCGTCTCAGACTTGTCCATTTTCATGGTTCATGCGTACGTTTATAAAATGGAAAGCCTATTGGAAGGCTGGAGAACCTAGGAGATGCATATAAAATGAAAGCCTATTAGAAGCTTTTTACGGGCCTATCAGATCATATATAAGATTTTTTTTTACTCTTGCAGGTTTTGGTTCAATATGGAGGTGCATATTCAGCCAATAACATGCCCCATCACAAATATCGTCATTTGGGAGCCTAAGATTGAAGAAAATGCTAAAAAGTTCTCAAGGTATCTCTCGGATTATGAAGAGTTGCAGATTCTTGGCGAAGGGTCCTTTGGGGTCGTAGCGCGCTGCAGTAACTTATTAGACAACAAAGTCTATGCGGCAAAGAAAATTACTCTAGGGGTTCGTTCTTTGGACTTTGAGACCATCCAACGGTAAGAAACTAAGAATTTGGAATTTACCGTGAAATTCTATTTGTATTTTTAGGCTATTGTATTTTTTTCGTTTAACTAAAAAGGTATTCTAGAGGTCGCACTTGGTGCGATGGCAAGTGCCTTCGCCCATGAGTGGTAGGTCTCGGGTTCGAGACTTGGGAGCAGCCTCTCCATAAATGGGGGTAAGGCTAGCCGACATTCACCTCTCCCAGACCCTGCGTAAAGCGGGAGCCTTGTGCACTGGGTACGACCTTTAACTAAAAAGGTATTCTATGTACATGTGCAGCGAGGTTGCAATTGTATCGGGATTAAAACACCAAAATGTGGTGCAATACTACACCTCTTGGACTGATCTGACTTTTGCTGGTGGGAGAGATCAACTTGAACAGGAAGAAGGCTTGCGTATGGATGATGATGGAAGTAACAGTTCGCTTGAAGAAGGACCTGGGAATACGAACAACAAAGAGAAGCAGCAACTTCCATGCTTGTACATTGTACAAGAATGTTGTGAAAGGTACCAGATTGAGACTACCTAAACATATGTGTTCTGTATTTTTTTTCCTATGTTAACTTTGTTTGGTTAATCCTCTTTTGCAGAAATTTGAGTAATGAGCTATTGAAGAGGGAGGGTAACATGGCATGGGATGAGGCATTGCCTGTTTTCACAGACATAACAAGAGGGTTGCTGTACATCCATGGGAATGGTATAGTGCATGGAGATCTGAATCCGTCAAATGTACTTGTAAAAGACAATGAATGGAAGATAGGAGATTTCGGGATTGGTAAGTGTTTTGAATTTGTTTATTAGTAAAAGTAAAAGATGGTGTAAACTTTTGGGAAATTATTTAAAGCACCTGTTTATGCAGCACGAAAGTGGGTAATTCTTTCGGGGATGAGGAGATAGAAGAAGAATTTAAAGGTCGGATGTATGATGCCCCCGAAGATAAAGTGGATTTCAAGAGGGACATGTTCAGCCTTGGTATGATTCTAGTGGAGCTGATTGCACAACCAGGGACAGTTGCTGAAAAGTGTGCCATTCTCAACGGCTTTAAGAAGGACGGAATACTTCCTGAGAAAGTGAGTGGCCATCCACTTAAGAGCCTTGCGCTGAAGCTTTTGGACAACGACCCTGCAAAGAGGCCTTCGCCGGCAGAGGTTTTGGATGATATCACTGCTTAGGACGCACATGGACATAACTGTTTTGTTGTTGTATAGTGCCACTCCACACATTCACTCACTCGTCCACATTATGCTGAAGTAGGTATATTCAATATCGTGATACCAAGTGTTTCTTGTTATACAAATGTTTCAGGCTTTGTTATATACTTGATTGGTTGGTTGAAATTGATCACAATATATACAATGAAATTGATTGGTTGTATGTATGGTGAAAGGCAGTACATATATATATATATATATATATATATATATATATATATAATCTTGTAGAGTGTTTTGACGTCCATGATTAAATGTGTTTTTAGAATTCTATCCTTTGGGATACTCGTTGTATGAAATTAGCAACCTAAAATTAAGCTACTAATTACACGTTTTAAACTCGCAAGTACACAAAATCAAACACAGTATAGAAACCAAGTATGAGGTTATTCCCACGACGATTGCACTAATATGTTATCTTCCCAACAATTTAAATTAATTCTTTCACAAAAGCTATCAAATATGCACAAAAATGATTTAACAAACTAGTTTGAGATGACTTGAATCTGAAAGTATAAAAGCACAGTTTTTACGGAACTAGGCAAAGAAAAGTTGGCAACAAGGGTTTTAAAAATAATGTCCGAAGGCTTTTAGGTTTCAATCTCTAATCTTTTTCACCTAACCAATCGACACACACAATGACACAAAGCAAATAGATGCTTAACGTTTATCAACCTAAAGGCATGACTGATTTCCCTAAACAACAAAGTAGGCATTGGTGTCCATACACTAACTCTTTTCATTCTCGAACTATTTAGCATGGTATCTAATAAGTTGCACTCCGAGAAAGCATAATACAATGGAAATCGACAAACACACGAATCGTAGAACATGGTATCTATTCCGGTTATTTATGATAATTAATTTCAGGAAACGTAACTAGTTCTCTTGTTACTTGGCATAGGTACAAGACTCAATCTTCCAAATTTGCTTATGTAACGAACTCAAATTACAAAGCTATCCTACGGTGATCTGACGTAGAATAACTCCTATGGTGCCTGCTCTCTTCTTTCGTTATATCCCTTCTTTTTCTGTTTTATTCCCCGCTGCCCTGCTGCTCAACTGACCAGGGATATACATCCCTTTTACTTGTAACCGAGAAGGCTAATAGCCTTCTTTTCCCTTGTCTCCTAATAAGCTTAAGGTCCCATAAGATCGAAACTCCTTATTTATTTGCTTCTTCGTCTTCTTCCAACTGGTTAATCTAACATAAAAAAAAAAAAAAAAAAAAAAAAAAAAAAAAAGGAAAAAAGACTGCTCGAACTCCTTATACATAGGTATTTTAACCCTCCTTTAATCTGCCAAGCAGTAAAAAACTTTAATTCGCTCGCAGTCCGACCTTCATGTACTAAAACTGTCATAACGCCCTTTAGAAAAATTATACTAACGAACCGCAAAATTCTATAGAAAATAGAACCCGTAGGTTTCCAAGCGTGCATGGCTCATTCCTAGTTCTTCCCGAGTCGGTAAAGTGTATTTCACGAACTCGACTGATCTGCACAAGCTGTGCTGACCACATATGATTGTAAAAGCCTTTTTAGTCTCCATGCTTTCTTTTTAACTCATTCTCTACTCTTTGCTTGTTACAACCTATAAAACACAAATAGAATGAAAAACCTATATAAAAGAGCAAAACAAAGGTGCAAACAAGGACAATTCTTATGTATATAATGACGAGTTAATGAGCACAACACTTGTACGTATGTGTGCTGTATGCATATGTCCAACTTTGGTCGACTAGTTTCGGAGATTAGCTTAAAATTTAAGGAAAATTAATGAAAATGGTTTGAAAATTTTGAGTTTTAACGATAAGGAAAAATAAAGGGTAAAATGAATAGTACCAAGTTGACTTTTTGTTGTAAAAATGTGATTTTTCGTTAAAGTGAACAGTACCACGGACTTTTCATTAAAACTTCCTAAAATTTATGTGTTGCGTTGCATAGTTAATCAAAACAGATGTACAGTGGGCCAAGCCTAATGAGTATTAAATGTATAATGGGCTCAGTGTATAGAAAATGTGTGCTGGGTGGGCCTAAGATCCGATCACCACCTTTGGGAGAGAATATTTTATTTTAGTTTCCACTTAATTTCAAACAAATTTTAGTCATTCACACAATCTAACGGCTTTGAGAGTTCCGCATAAACTTCCGTAGCCATCCGCACCACAATTCACTTGACAAGCCCTGAAATGTGAGTTGTGCTTATTTTAGCGTGAATAGTAGTTAGAGTGGTAGAGTTTGACGAATAGGCATGGATTTGAATGGGCATGACGTGATTTATACAAACGTCCGGTTTATTTATCATAGCGTGGTATGGTTATAAATATTCTCCTTTCGCGTCGTATGGTTATTTGTCATAGCATGGTATAGCTAAGATGTGGCTCACGCCCTAACTCGTAAATAGTCCTTATTCGCAGGTCGGGGTGTTACAAAATTGAATTCTAGTTTAACTAATTTCTTGAAATTCTAGCGACATATAACTCAAGTCCTTTTCTTTTCATTTGGTTCTCCATCACTTAAGCGGGGCTTGTGAAAACACCAAACTGAACGAATTTTCAAAACCTTAATACCAGCCCTCTAATCTTACCTCAGAGCGTTGAGTTCGATTCACTGATCATGCAAACCGTTCGTAATTCGGACTCCCGGGTTAAAACTTACAAATCTTGGAAGATTAATAGAACTTTTCCTTTCTCTGTTTTTTATTTTTCTTCTGTTTGCAGCGACTGAATGAAGAACAAAGATGGGATTAATCCCATGCCGCCTCACCCCTTTGATTTACGGTCCAATGGCAGCTTGCCACTTGTCAAACTTGAAAGAAAATCTACACCTGTCTTTCTTTTTTCTTCTTGTCTTTCTTTTCTTTGATCTTAGATTCTTAATGACCAGCCCTCTAATCTTAACAAGGTGATCAGCGCCCCCTTTTTCTTCTTTGTATACTTTAGTTTCACCTATGCATTTTCTCTCTTATCTCTAACACAATGAAAACTAAAACGAAATGGGAAACAAATAATCTCCAAATATGAAAATAAGCATAAGCTTGACAACTAATGTTTCTTGAAAATAAGCATTTTCACCTCGAGCCCAGAGCCGTGAGGGTTCTCTCCATCTTGCTCTCAAACCTTAGCCTATCTCAACTTCAATTCTCTACCATCATCACAAAATCAAAACTACGGTGGACCTCTCGAATCAAAGATAACCCCAGCCATCAGATTGTACTATCGCCATGGAAATGTCGACGCTTCCGAGGCTCAGAAATTCGAAATCCCAGCAATCATAAAGGTAATTGTCCTTCCCCGTATATCTGATTTTCGTGAGCGTTCTTCAAAGTGTAGGTCAGAAAGAAAACAAGGAAAAATTATCTCATGCATGTGTGCTATCTGTGCAGGAGTCCTGGATCTGTGAAACCAATGGCGGAACCAGGAATTGACAGGAGGATAGGCGAAGTTAAAAGAGTGCAAGGTTCAAAAGAATAGTAACAACCAAATCCTTTAAATAGTAATGTCTTCCATAATTTATCAATACAAACAAATTACAATTATTGCCGACGAGGTTTCATATCATGAAAACGCCGCATAATAGGCTCATTATCAATAAAAGCAAATACATATCTCTCAATGTAAACAAGCATGCTATCACTCAACCATTGATCTCCTATTTGTTACGCAATGGTGTTTTCACAATTTTCATAGCAGAAAAAGCTCTCTCCACCGAAGCGGTTGCAACTGGTAACATCAAAGCCAATGTAAGAAGCTTATACACTAACATATAGCTTGCATACCTCCCGATCTTCACCAACTCCTTTGCAAGATCACCAATTCATTTCAATGATGAAAACTCACTATGCATCTTCATATCGTGAATGTAATTGTCAAGTTGAATTGGAAGATTCATGAGGTCCATACAATCAAAATCTTGAGAATAAAGTTGGGCTAGACGAACAATTTTTGCTTTGTCAAAATATGCAAAATTATTCACTGGACTCAAACATGCCATACAAAGAAGCAATTCGGTGTTTACCTCATTGAAGCGATCATTCAATTCCTTTAATTGTGTATCAAGGACTTGAAAATAGAGGTCCACATGATAGTAATGGAAGTTTATGAGTCTTAGAGCTTTACGTCTTGATTTTCCGGGTACAAAACGCAAATCCTCCATGTTAGGAACGACAATATCATGCTCTTGACAAAACTTTTGTACATCATCAAGCAAGTCCCCAAAGTCATCATCTCTCAAGGATTGTAGTCTTTGCTTGCATACTTCCACTAACGCCATCGCATTCACAATATCTTGATCTTTCTTTTGTAATGCTTGTGATAATTCATTTGTAATTCCCAATATGAGTCTCATAAAAAAAAGGTGAAACACAAAATCAAAAGTTTGTATGTCATGGAATAACTTACTTACTTCATCAAAATTGTCTTGGTTGGTATCATCCTTAATCCATTCAAGCACCTCCACCACAGCTTCAAACATGACAATAATACTAACTATAATACCATAATGTGAGTTCCAACGTGTATCACAAGGATGCATGAGACTAATCTCTTGATTTAACCCTTTACCCCTTTCAAGATCACCAATATCAAGAGCTTTCTTAATTTGTTCTAGTTGTTTCTCTCTAAATGCGTCACGACGCTTACACGATGATCCAATAGTATTGACCAAAATACTAGCATTGTTGAAGAAAATGGCGACACCCTCAATTCCCTTTGCAACGGCTACAAGAGCTAGTTGAAGTTGGTGTGCAAAACAATGAACATAAAATGCTTAAGGATACTTGTTCAAAATCTTTGCTTTAAGGCCATTTAGTTCTCCTTTCATATTACTAGCTCCAACATAGCCTTGTTCCCGTAACTTAGACATACTCAAATTTGTTGAAGCAAATAATCTCTCAATGGTCTCTTCAAGCGAGCTACTAGTTGTAGAGGAGACATGTTGCACACCAAAAATCCTTCATACTCAAATTCTTGATTGCCTCTTGAAGGTAACATAGGTGACGGTAGTGGTAGTCAATTCTACCGGTATCAAGAAGAGCCTCGTCAATTGATAGTTTTGGATTATTCGACTCTGATACACCTACTTACATATTATTGCACAAAAATTAAATTTAGCTTTTTCCTCTAAAAATATAAAAAAAAAACATGCAGTTTTAGTTAACACCATTATAAATATGTGAAACTTTTGCAATTAATCAAGGCTTAAAAGTACGTATTACATACCATTCTCAGTAATATAAATGAGTGGATCATTATATTTTTCCTTTGTGTAGAGCACAAGATCGTGAATTCCTTTTGGATATACATATAACCAATCTGAAGCAGTCTGCAACACCATTTCAAGATAATACGTAAATGTTGGGGAAAAAAGCTAATCCTCCAAATGCAAATAGCTCAAAATGATAAATTTGATGTATACCTGTGGACCAATAAGTATTCCATTAAGCTCAGCTGCCACAATATTTACAAACATTAGAATACAATTGGTGTAAATATTAGAATATAATTAATGTAATTAAGAGGTTAAACTAGGTCAAGAAGAACAAAGAACTGAAGCTATTCAAAGTAAGTTTCCTTTGGCACTCACTTGGAAGATCAGCTCGAGGATCTGTTACGAAGCTTGCCTGTAGTGAATTGTTCTTAGGTGTACTAGTTGTGTATCTAGCAGTATAATAATTTATTCCAAGAAAATCAAATGATCCGTTCAGCAACTTGGATTGTTCTTTTGTGAATTTTGGCAATCTTTTTCCAACAATTGATCGCATGCTGTGTGGATAGTCACCACTTGTTAAAGGGTCCAAAAACCTACAAACAAGAAAATTCCAAATATTAGCCTAATTATAGCATTATAGATAAATAGTACTGCTAGCTAGGTAGTATCAATGTTACAAGTCATAAGTAAACATGATGTAATTGGGTTTATGTATAATTTAATAAGACACTTGCCATCCAAACATAAAATCCAAAGATCGTAAGGCAGCATCTTTATCTTGCTTTGACTCCGAAGCAGGCTCAAACCAGTATGACACCAATGTTATCCCTATCAAGCCTTTCTGAGATGCCTACACAAAAATATGAATTTTGGTTGAATAAATAGGAGTTATAGAAAAAGATACAACCATTAGATTATCTTACTATTGAGAGTATTCCCCCTTGTATTACAACTCAATAATAAAGATTCATATAGAATTCTCGATTAGGAGCCAATAATCTGACCCAAAAAAACAAAATTAAAAAAAATTAAAAAAAAAAGCAGTTATTGAACCTGATATCTATTCCTGTACAATTCTACAGCTGCTCCATGAGCAAGAAGAATGTGGTGTGTCACCAAGTATGGTTCAATGGCTGAATCTCCACCGGTGCAGTTTAGGTTTTGCCAAGAAGAGCAGCGTCCCGGTGCTAGAGTCCCAACAGCATAACCCATGCTACTAAAAGTATATGGCTCATTTACTGTGAACCAGTGCTTGACTCGATCACCAAATTCCTTATAACAAAGTTCAGCATAGTCTTTAAAATGATATCTGTAGATACAAATTTATGTTACGTATATCAGTATGTATTTTATCAAATTATCAACGAGAAAATAAATTTTGGTCACTTACACAATACGAGGGCTTAAGAAACCACCATATTCATCTTCTAAAGCTTGGGGAACATCCCAATGAAAGAGTGTTACAAACGGCTTTAAACCTATAATACATGATCAGTAAAATCAAATTAAAAGTCTGATTGAATGATGTTCTAAAAATTCATGTAATAATTGTTTAAGGTAGGATGATTAACCATTGCGTAGGAGTTCATTGATGAGATTGTTGTAATAATCAATTCCTTTCCTGTTAACGCCACCACTTAACGTTCCATCTAATTAGAACAAAAATAACAAGAAAAAAAAAGGGTTACCCAGTAGATAACTCGATCACATTACTTTAGTTAAAAGTATATAAAGAGAATAATTCTCTTGTAGGCAAAATAATTCTTATGCACAATATTGTCAATGGTCCCAACCAAAAAACGAGAACGTGGAGCAACTTACTTGGTAATAATCTGGACCATGATATAGATAATATGTAAGCATCCAAATTCATATCCTTCATAATCCCCACATCTTCCTAGAATGACAAAAGTTTAAGAGTAAATTGTAGCTATGGTCCCTTAACTTTAACTCAATTGGAGCAATGGTCCTTCAACTAAAAATCCATTACCTTTGGTCCCTCAACTTATCAAAACGTGCAGTTATGGTCCCTCAACTAAAAATCCATTACCATTGGTCCCTGAACTTTAATTCAAGTGGAGAAATGGTCCTTTAACTTTAATCCAATTGTAGCAATGGTCCTTACAATATAACTCGTTTTGACAAATTTTTTGACATAGTTGACGAAAAGAACCATAATTATACACTTTGATGAGTTGAGGGACCCTAATTATATAAATGGTCATTCCAACATAGCTTATTTTGACAAAATTTTGACAAAATTGATGAAAAGGACTATAGCTACACATTTTGATAAGTTGAGGGACCAATGGTAATGGATTTTTAGTTGAGGGACCATTGCTCCAATTTGATTAAAGTTGAGGGACCATTTGTACAATTTACTCAAAGTTTAAAATTAAATATTGAGGATCTCATTATATATTGTTTTTTTTTTTTGTAAAGGCTCCAATTTAATATGTTAACATGTGCCCTTCAAGTATAAAGTGTCAAGAGACAAGGTTATGAGGTTTTAGACCTTATAGCGGTGACATTGATCAATAGCGACGTTTCAGTTACTGCCATCAGTGATTTTTTCTGCAGTTATTCAAAAACATAATGGTGAAATCCATATCATGTGCAAAGTACTTTATATGCGTGCGCACCGATGAAGTATTACATATATTGTACATATCACATGACCACGTACTATTGGTCTCCCAACAAAGTGCATGGCTATTAGAGAGGTTGGAGTTTACTTGTCCTCACGAAGAAAAGAATGAGGTGCTATTTCTACTCCTTTGAAATGAAGTAGCAAAAGTTTTCATATTACCAATTGATTAAATCACAGACCTGGATGTTTGTGGGTGAAGGAATCCCATATGCTTGGTCCTCTTCCATCTTCTTTTACTGCACCTTCGTACTGAAATACACACACATGCATATACGTAAGAGTACTACTACACACGCAAGGAAGATGACAACATTATAATTCATGCATGGATGCTAACTGCATGTATAAAATACACCAAAAATATGGTAAATAAAGACAGAAGATATATATATATATACTGACCTGGTAAGATGCGGAACCTGTGCCAAATATGAACCCTGATTCAAAACTGCTGCGATTGAGAAATTCGCAATGAACAGGTGGATCTGTATTAGTTGCTTTGCCATTTGTCAATGCAAAGCCAATGAGTAGCAGCACACCAAAGAGCAAAGATCATGAATATTTCATTGCCGTAACTTGGGAGTTTTGATATCGATCGAGATAATTAAGTTATCTCCTCCGGGAATATTGCATGGGGTTTATATAGAGAAAGGGAGGAAGGGATATGGTGTCTACGTACTAGCTCATGAGAATAGTAAAGGGTTAAAATTTGTAAACAAAATTGGCCTTGAAAGTCCTAGTTTAAAGACCAAGTCATGGTATGTTTCAAAAAAAAAAAAAAAAAGACCAAGTCATGGTCTGTAGTTTAAAAGAAAGCACGTTCCATGTTTCCAAAAGTTGCGTATATATGCACGTAAAAGAACGGATGATCCTTGCGTTCCACCTGAGGAATGCACATATTCCACAAATTTTATATTGTGATCGTTTAGTTTCTTAATCTTTATTTGAAAATCATCTAAACAAAAAGAATTATTTGAATCTAAGATAGTTTAGTCATTTAAATATATGAACCCAATCGACATTGTTGATACTAAGTAAAAGACTTATATTGAACTATTCATTTTATTGATATATTTGGATAACTAAACAGTCTTCAATTTGAATAGTTTTTGTATATAAGATATTCAAATTAAGATTAAAAAATTAATGACTTATTCAAACAGTAGAAAACTACTTGACCCAGGAAAAAAGTAGAAATTTGTGACCAGAATTCTTTACGTAAGTACATAACCGATAAAGATGAAGAATTTAATCTTGATCTTTTTGTTCTTGTTAGAGTTTTAGTATTGAATCGGTAAACCCAGTGGTTTGTGAAATTGTCTTTCCACTCTAATTAAGAAGGCATCGAAATAGCTAGGTTCTCAAGTTGGCTATTTTGCTCCTAAAGATTGTGAAAGGATTCCATTGGGGTGGCTTTTTCGAAGGTTTGGACACCTTCAAAGTATAGTACTAGTACAAAAAATACTTTGCACGACGTAGGACCGTCGTCGCGCAAAGTCAAAATACGTCGCCCAACAATTAGCCAAACGAACCTTCGTCGCGCAAGAACTGTCGCTCGAAGGCAGTGAAGGAAGGGTTTGCGCGACGTAGGTAGGCACTGCGTCGCGCAAAGCTACTTTGAGCGACGCAGGTCCTACGTCGCGCAAAGATACTTTGCGAGATGCGGTGCCTACCTACGTCGCTCAAAGTAGCTTTGCGCGACGTAGGATCTACGTCGCGCAAATATACTTTGCGCGACGCAGTGTCTACTTACGTCGCGCAAAGTTTTTTTTTTTTTGTCATTTATATTTTTTAATTTAATTTTTAATAAATATTATAATTAAATTCTAAAAAATAATTAATAAACCAAGAAAAAGTAATTAATTATAGAATATATGAAAATGTACGTTTGTCCAAACAAAAAAATAAAAAACTACAAGTCTTCTAAGTTTAATACATCATACTACTCGGTATCGTTTGGGAAAAATGACTGGGAAGTCGAAGGTGGAGCAACATTAGGTGCTGGCATCGTCGGGATTTGGAGGCCGGACATCGCTAAGGCCTGAACAATCATATTCATCCTCTCGTCCTGGGCCCTAATGTGGTCGCCCTGGGCCGCAACCTGACCTCTTAGGGTTGTCACCTCCTCCTTCAAGGAATTGACCTCTCCTATGGACAATCTGGAAGAAGAGGCACCCGTTTCACGAACCCCCGCCTTCCCCGTACACCGACAACCTTACCATGACGACGGCCGAACTTCTGATCCAGGACCTCAGTCACGATCTGAACATCTGCATCCTTGGGTACAATGACGTCCTCGATCGGGGTCTCTAGGGGAAGCTGCGATGTTGCTTCTTGGAGAATAGCAGTGCTCTTTTCCACCATATCACCCTGTAATAATAAAGAAGAAACATATAATGTTTAATAACAAAATATAAATAATATTTGAACGATTCATAAAAATAAGAAAAATAACAATTACATATACTTACATAAAGCTGGTCACTGTTCTCATTGTTGGGATGAACGTAAACATGCTTGAACAGGTCAATCTGTGGGAACTTAGAACCCTCCTAAAGAAAAAAAAACATTAAGAAAATTTTATTAATCAATAATATAAAATAAATTGTATAAAATTTCAAAATTAATATACTTTTACCTCACGTCGTGCCTCAACCCTATACGAAAAGGGCTTCGAACCAGAATGGTGGAGAAGTGTCTTTGAGTCCCGAGCTTTCTTGCCAACAGCAGATTTCTTCTGTTAAACATACAATATATATGTTAGTGCGACTATTTGAAAGAAATTATTAAAAAAAGCTTAAATAAAATAACAAAAACAATAAATTATTATTAAAGTATTATGTACATACCAAAAATTTTGGATCCGTAAAATGTGTGCAGAGCCATTCCCAATCCTCTCGCCGCTCCTTATACTCGAGTGGGCAACCCTGTAGGCGAGCAATCTCCGGAGATTCCCATAGCTGAAAATGCTTGTGAAGAGCGCTCTTCCAATCTTTGTACCGGCTTGCTAAGGTCTCCTCTAAGTAGGCATTGACCTCAGGGGATATGTCCTCCATTTCAAAAACGACCTACAAATATGAAAAACAAAATGACAAACAAAATGACCATGTATAAGAATAATTGACAACTAGTTTATAAGATATTGATAAAGTTTGTCGGTTTACAATAATAACTAGAATCTTAATTTGTTAGGAAGCAAACAATATAATGTTTATATTCGGAAAGCAGTGTCAAACCTCAGCTTCACACAAGTGTCAAACCTTTAATGTTCAAACCAAAAGGTTAACACTCAAATTATTTATCAAATTCCTTTCCTTAGCACAATTTCTCAACAAAGGATTTAACTCGACTATTTAAGGCTGCTTTCGTAGTTCACTTTAATAAATAAAACCAGGACAACAACTAAAAACAATTCACTATCAAATTGAGGCAAAGTCAAGAACCATACATAGGACTCGCTCGGTAAAAGATCGATTACTTGATTAGTATAGCCAGTCCCAAGAAGCACTTAATGATTAAAACAAAACAGCATGTATAGGCATAATGTTTAGGTATCATGATGCTGCTCAACCGGTGGATACTATGGATCAGGTTAACTGATGCACAACACAAGCAAAGCAATGTACTAGAGACGGCATGCATACTCACCTAAACACTATCATAAATCATTTAGCAAGGACGTAGACCAAAACTAAAAACCCATAAATATGCATCAGATAAGATAGTAATCCTTCCACCTAACCAACATAATCATTATTTAACAATGGTTCACGGAATTATTTTTCAATTTCCTTCCCAGGAAGCATTCAGACAACAAAGAACAGTGCCGCAAATCATTGAAATTAACCAAAACTAAATGACCACACCTGCTCCCAATTATGAACAGAAGAAGAGTGTGCAAAATACATGACCAAATTATTCATCACAACAACACTCGGCTATCAGGTGCAAAACAATGAAATGCACCTGATTTCTCTTTCCCTCCTACATTTTCTTAGCAACCAAACAGAAATTGAGAGAAAGATCTTGACTTTACTAATCAAGATGATGGCCCTGCACTAGTTTAAGCAGAGAAAGATGTTGACTTTGCTAAAAATTAAAATACTAACCTCCAAATTGTCTCACACCAAGGTCCTCGTCTCCTCAGGAATTTTTGCCCAACTCTCCCACCGCATAGGACAAAAATTCCTAATAATAAAACCACAGCAATTAACGACGCTGTTATGCTGCTGTGAGGTAACCGCTCCACGATGTCGCTCATCATACGCAATCTTGATCAAGGAGGCAGACATACGTACAAGTTGTAGCTCATTCAACATTCGATTGGGCCCCCTGGTGTTTTTTTTAGCTGCCCAAAAAAACTTAAATGGTAAAAACCCTAAGCTTAAATTTGTACAGAAAATTTGGCAAAACCTCCCCTAATCATAAAAGTACCTTAAAACAGTAATTCACAACCCGCAACACATTTTCACAATCATAAAAGTAATAGTTTTGAAATGAAACAAAAAATGCAAAATAATGAGAATTAGAAAAAAACTACCTGGTTGGGAGGCCCCATCGTCGACTCTGGAGGACGAGGAAGTGTGATCAGAAGGCTCCGGCTCACGGCGGCGCCGGTGAGGCCGCCGTACACTGAGGGGCTCAACTGACACTGATGACGTTGATGATACGGGCACCTGGGACATTGTAGGAGTAGCCTCCGTAAGGGGTGTAGGCTCCCCAATCAATGGAGCACTCACGCCTGAAGCACTAGATGCTGATAATGCAGGAGTTGCATTGGACACACTTCGACGACGAGTGATCAACTGCAACATCTATACACTTTATGAACCATAAAAATATAACATTAGAAACTAATCCTTTCTTGCATTTGAAACTAATAAAATAGCAACCAAAATAATATAAGTAATTAGAGCAATAATATCAATACAAGAATATTTAAACTAATCCTTTCTTGCATCTGAACAAACCCTAAAAGAGAATCACTATAGAAAGATCAAATTAGTTAAACCGTGGCAGTATGTGTATTTTGTGAGCAAAAATGATAGATTTTTTCACTGATTTGTTCCACCTCATGAAAGGTTTAGAATAAACTTTACATGGGATATGTGGGTTATAATGCAACTGCTCAAAAGTACAGTATTTAAATGGTCGGGTCCTGCACTGCTCAAGTCTTTTGAAGTAAAATTCTCATCTAAGGTAATACCGTAATAGCTCGAGGCAGTGGGTTAAGCAATCAGGCATATCATATATAAGTATGTGCATCAAATGTTTTCTAGTTTCAATCCCCTGTGAAAAGTTAACACTTCCTACAAATCTGGAAAAGCCATATGCAGGGCTCATTCTTCAGAACAAGAATACAGGTTTTTCACAACAACTATCTAAAAGAACAAGATTTTCCAGAATACATCTAACATGCATGAATACTATATGCAAGTCAATGCCAATTAAATAAGCAAAAGGAAAATTTCTAAAATGCAAAATAAAAATTAACAACATAAAATAAGATATCTTTTACGAGAATAAAATGTTACAAGTTCTTACGTTCTGCAATAAACTAGCCGAAGAACAAAGTGCGATATTAAGTCCTTGTTGACGACCTCAGATGCCTGAGGATGCCTCATATTTGTCTTCCATAGTTCTATTGCCTGTAAAATGCCAAAATGTTAATGCTATGAGGTTGGTGAAGCCATGTGACCCTAATTTATTTTCTCTTTTTTTTTATACAAAAAATTATACAAATGGTACAGTTTCAACTGTACATGTTTAACCTCGGTGTTTTTCAATTTCAGTTTTACTTCTACCATCCATTAATTTTCCTTTCCAAAATGATTTGAAAAATAAATCTATAGCTACTAACGGTTTATATGCTTGATGCTGTTAGACCCTGCAATCTAAAAATTTATGTAAATGCAGAGGTTTGTCTGAAGGAGAGGCGATCGAAGAAATCCAGAAATCCTTCCATGGCATACTTAGTTGTACACCCATGGCATGTGTGTTGTATGCTAGATGCCCTCTCTCTTTTAACAACACACAATAGCTTATGCAAATGCGCAGAGGACTTCAACATGTTTCATTTAAAATAAATTTACATTTTGTAGCAAATACATATGGCGAAATAGTCCATAAGTAATCATAATGGCAACCAAATACAATAGTTCAAAAACTTCAATGCAAATATAAATTGCAGAAAAAAAAAACTTGAATTTCCAAACCCACAAAATAAAAAATTCAACCAGATTATGTGTAAGAAGAAATACCAAGAACTGAGAGCTGCAGGCTACCAAAATGCTCATGATCTTGTTTGTGCTGATGAACTAAAAAACTTGAAATCAAATTTACATAGGTAGAAGTTGAGATTCCAATATGAGACAGAACAATCCAAATGAAGATAAGGCGCCTAATATGAAATCAGGGCTCGAAAATAAAATTAAAATTTTTGGGGCAGGTAAAAAACTAATCATTGATTAATTAAGACAAATGACTGAAATTGTCAACTTTTCAAATTACGTATCCTTAGTAAAAAAAAGCGCACACACCTTAAAAGGCTCATTATTTGTTCTGAAGCTAATGCCTGGAACAAACTTCAGCCAAACTGGAAACCCCCTAAAGAAAATAGAAACATTAAAATAGAAATTCATTGACGAAACAAAAAACTGCCGAGGAAAATGATCATTCCCAAAATTCCATTATGAACAAATATATGGACCAATCTTAAGATGAATATAGAGCCCTGCCTTGTAAACCATCTTTGAGCCAACCAATTACAAATCTAAATAAGAGATGGCAGAAAAGGAATATGCTGGGCAAATGCTAAACTCATATTCCCTCAAAGATCTGAACCCTCTCTGGTAAAGTGCATCAAGAATCAAATTTAATAGTTTTTGTTTGATTCCGATATCCAGAAGAGAAAGGGAAACCAGGCCAACCGAAACTGAAATGTGGATCTATACTAAAATCAACTGCAAAAGCATTTCGATTATCCCATCTCCCAAACAGTCACACTCCAGCATGAAAATAATCAATATTTTCAGCATTTTTTACCTTAATAAGAAATTTACAAGCTAATCTGAAAAGTACAAGACCGTATGCCAATCTCATTCAGCCCCATCCCAAATATGTGGTTCTTTAATTTCACACCCTAAACGGTGAACGGTGCAGACTTTTGGTGTAATCTCAACAGACCCACATAACCTCAAACCCTCACAAATCCGAAACCCTATCAAATCAGAACCAACATCCAATTTTATCTGGAGATTTCGACAAAGTACTCAGAAATCAACATGCAATTTGACCCTATACCCTAAATAACAAAAACCCTTCGAAAATGAGAAACCTTTACCTTGATTTTAGGACCCTATGTCGCGTCGGCTTCGAGATTTGGGGGTTGAAGAGGAGAGAGAGGTATATGGGAAAGAAAGAGCGAGAGGGAGAGATGCAGGTCTACGTACGGGAAAGAAAGAGCGAGTGGGAAGAGAGAGGTATACGGGAAGAGCGAGATTTGGGGGTTCAAAAGGTTGCCAAACTTGGAGAATTGAAAACAAGCGCCTATTTTTCACTATTGGAGCGCCAAAATTATCACATCAGGCGCGACATAGGTATACAAATTGAGGTTGCGCAAAGTAGTTTTGCGCATCGACTACATTAAGACTTCGCGCAAGGTTTTTTTTTTTTTTTTTTTTTAATATTATAAAAATTACTATTTACTTCTTTCAAATTCAAATTTATTTTACATAAACCCCACGATAATATATTTTTCTAACAAAAACTCACAATAATTTTTTTTTTACATATATATCATTAAATTTCTTAAGTGTTATAAGTACAAAATAAATAAATTAAAATCAACTTAGTAAATATATATACCATTGAACTTGATGGGAAACGCATTGTACGAAACTAATTTCAACTATCCAACCGTCAAACTTGTTTGTATATGCTTCAAGATCGCAGACGCCAAAAATTGCAAAAAACAAACATTCAGAGATTATGTAACGGGACAAAACTTTTTTACGGTTATAAACGAAAAAGCACGATTTTTCTTTACAAGTTTATATTAATCATCATCCGAACTACAATAATAATTCTCGCTATCCTCATTACTATCATTTCCGGATTCCCATTCGTCTTCATCTTCGTTTGCCTCTTCTGGTGCATTGTATTGAGGTAGATCACCAAGGTCAATTGATATTTCGAATTCAGGAAATCCAACTACGTCAAACGGTTCTTGGACAATATTAGTATCCCGGAGTGTTTCTTCACCAATTTCTATCGAAGATGATAACTGTTGGTCAGCGACGTTATTGTAATTGTCATCATGATCTTGTTCTGGAATATCATATAGCCCTCTTCGATCAATCTTTTGAACAACTTTCCAACCATTGCCAGCTTTAGGGTCGTCTAGATAGAATATTTGTTTCGCCATTGTTGCCAAAATGTATGGGTCTTCATCGTACCAATGTCTCATAGTGTTTACTGATAGTAAACCATGGTCTCGCTTAACACTCGTTCGGTTATGTGGGTTTGTATCAAACCAAAGACACTTAAACAGTATCACTTGACACCTGTCTTTGTAAAGCAATTGTACTACACTAGTTAGTTTGCCATAAAAAATCAATGTCTTCACTGTCACCCCGCACCCGGGGACATGGACACCACTATTTTGAGTAGACAACTTGTCATCACGTGTTGCCCCCAAGAACTTGATCCTGTTGACATGACAACCTGAGAACAATTCAACGTGAAGCGGTCCTCTCGCCAAGTTATATAATTCTCCATCGTAAGAGGGTGAATTCAATTCCTTCAATTTGTTCATCTAATATAACATATACAAAAAGTTAACTTGTTAGTATAACCAAATTTAAAGACGGGCATGAACAAGTTGGAAAATATGCTCAATTCAAACCACATACAACTTACATGTGCGTGAAACCACGAAGGAAACAAGTCACGGTGCTTCTTGGCATATAAATGTGAAGGATGTTCCGGCTTCATCAATTGTTCATGCTCTTCAAGGTATGGCAAAGCCTCGTCACAATTGTTGAGTATGAACCAATGCGCTACCTCCATGTCTTTTTTGGTAAACAATTCGTCTTTTACATGATCGCCGAATGGTCGCGCAATTTGGGCAAAAACAGACAGTTTCTCTTTTCTGACACCACCGTCATTATTGCTTTGAGAACGATTGAAAGCTGTCTCAACATCTTCAAGATACATTGCACAAAAAGTAAGTGACTCATATGCGACCCATGCCTCCACAAGTGATCCTTCGGGCTTTGCCTTGTTTCGAACAGACTTTTTCAACTCACCAAGATATCTGCACAAATAAAAGGTATGCTACAAATTATTCAAAGCGTTCGTTGATCATGAATATGTTATATATATATATATAGACGCTTAATTAAGTACTTTTCTATTGGATACATCCATCGACAGTTCACTGGTCCGACAAGCAATGCCTTATCTGGCAAGTGAATCATCACGTGAATCATACTTGTAAAAAACACTGGGGGCAATATCTGTTCGAACTTGCATAAGATGTTCACAATGTCGTCCTGCAATTGTTTAACATCTGACTTCCGCAAACACCTTGCAGTCAACTGCGAAAAAAATCTCGACAACAACACGATTGGTTTCACCACATCAAGAGGCAATAAGTGTCGAATACCAACTGGAAGAAGGCGTTGGAGTATCACATGACAGTCATGACTCTTCATGTTTTGAAATTTACACCCATTCACGTTCACACAACGCGAGATATTGGAAGCATACCCATCTGGAAACTTTACAGAAGAAATAAAGTTGAAAAACTCTTTCTTCCCATTCGGCTTAACTGTAAAAAAAGGATGGCCTTTCTTCAACGTACCACCGACATTCTTCATCCACAAAGATGACCTAACGCCCATTCGTTCCAAATCGAGGCGAGCTTCGATCGTGTCTTTTGGTTTTCTTTCAATGTCTAGAATTGTCCCGACCAAAGTGTCAAACACATTTTTCTCAATATGCATAACATCGAGGTTGTGTCTCAATTTTAACTTTGACCAGTATGGAAGCTCAAATAACATACTTTTGTGCGTCCAGTTCAGATGTGTAGTTGGTCTGGGGTTACTGACCCCTTTGCCGAAATGACCAAATTCCAAACGGTTTAACTGATCCAAAATCTCATCTCCGGACCATTCTCTTGGTCTTAGCCGAGTCTCTTTTGTGCCGTCGAAGGCTTTATCGTTCTGACGCCACTCGTTGTCCCAAGGGAGCCATCTACGATGACCAAGATAACAAACTTTTCTTGCATGCCAAGATGATGTTACGTTCTCCTTGCATATTGGACATGCCAAATAACCCTTAGTCATCCACCCAGAAACCATTGCATATGCAGGAAAATCGTTTATTGTCCACATCACTGCCGCTCGCATGGTGAACATCTACCCAGTATATTTATCGTATGTACGAACACTGTTTTCCCATAAATCTTTTAGCTCATCAACCAACGGCCGCAAATAAACATCAATGGACTTTCCTGGATCTTCGTTAATTAATAGAGTCAACATCATGTATTCTTTTTTCATGCACTTCCAAGGTAGCAAATTATAAGGAAACACGACGACCGGCCAAGTGCTGTGCTTTAGGTTTAACACCCCGAACGGATTAAATCCATCGGTGGCAAGTCCCAATCTGACGTTGCGCGGGTCAGCTGCAAAATCAGGGTACATCCGATCGAATTCTTTCCATGCCTCTCCATCTGCAGGATGCCTCATAACATCGTCATTTACCTGTCCTTCTTTTTGCCATTTCATGTCGGTTGCGGTATGCATTGACATGTACAATCGTTGCAGTCTAGGCTTCAATGGAAGATAGCACATTACTTTTTGTGGAATCTTGGTGTTTCTATTCTGTGATGTCATTTTAAACCTCTGCTCATTGCAGACAGGGCATTTATCCAACGCTTTGTTCTCCTTATAGAACAATATACAATTATTTACACATGCGTGAATTTTTTCAAAAATTGGAATTGGAGATATAACTAATTAAACTATATGAAATTGGATGCCATTGAAAATCTACACCGTTGCTGGCATTCATTCATTTTATTCAAAAATTGGAATTAAGTACAATTGAAGCAAATTATGAGACAGATTAGGACATGAAAACTATTGTCTTGTCACCTTATTCCTCCGGTCAGGGCCCTATCCCATTCAAGAATGCACAGTTATGTGCCGTAATTTACGATTCCAATGGATTAAATTTCGACGTGGGCTAATATCGGCAGCATCTCCTTACAGTTCTTCAAGTGCACGTCGTAGATACATAATATCCACCGTGTACTCAAAGAACATTAGGAAATGTTACCAAAATTTCCACTATCGAAACCTAATCCGTGGAGTGCAAACTACAACACATAACTAGGGCATTCCCAAACTGTCCAAAAAATGGGACAATTCAAGAATTAATTGGACCGCAGTCATGCTTTTGCATCCATGCACGAAATCCAACTAATTCTCAAACAGGAAACTAAGCTTTTCCTGAGAAAAGGGTACGAAGTTAAGTAGTATTAACTTCGTACAACACAAAACAATTTTGTAGGTGATGTACAAAAATATGTGCATACAAATAAACTAAATCACAATAATTACTAAAACTAACTAAAATAGATAAAATTAATAAAAATTAATTTAGTGAAGAAAATAAAGTGATTTATGTACACTGTGACATCTCAAATGTAGTTAAATTTCTCTTAGACTTCATTTTAATATAAAGTGATTTATGCACCCTTTATTTCACTTTACGCATCTATCTCTTAATTTAGTCCTTAGTTCTCCTTAGTTCTCCTTAGTTCTCCTTTATTAGTTCTCCTCTTATATGAGATACAATAGCCATGCCTCTGTCATCACCAATCAGAGTAAATAATGACAGTGAAAAAGTTAATTACAAAAGGCAGTAACAAGTGAAAAGAAACAAACTAATACCATAAGAACAAACAGAACCAATTACAAAGTCCTAATCAAATTGTTTCCTAGTTTAATTTTTGTTAAGAGTTTTTAACCGGTTTTATCTGTGCAGATATTCCTAATTTGATGATCAACTGCAAGAGGGAAGTAAAAAACAGATGTGCTCAGTGGCTGTTGAATGATTAAAGAGTAAGACGAATATCTGCAATCGTTTGAAAAACGGCTTGGATAAGAAACAGATTAGTCTTAAACATGCACTTACTATTTTCCTAACAGTAAAGGTTTTGCACGATTCTAATCTCAAATTGTGAAGATTGGATAATAGTGTGAGTTATAGGATACAATGGTCGACAAACAATGTTTATCCCCTGATTCTTTATGGTTTCAATTGATTCCTTGTATCCACTCAATTCGAATTCATAAAACTAATGTTTTTGGTCTTTCTATTAATTCAACGTTATTGTAATATATCCAAATCCTTTCTTTTAAATCATTCCATCCACATAAGCTCGAATCCATGGAAAACATTAATATCCTTCATTAAGTATACCTTATCAGGGTTTAGTAGAACTTTGATGCCAGGAACACCTTTCTCCAAACCATTTTTGACCTGATCAGCTCTTACCTTGAATGACTTGCATTGCTTGCTAGAGAAAAGAGCCAAATCAGTCAATAAGGATAATAAAAGAACTGCAAGTACACAAAGATCTTGCTATTGCAGGGGGAATGGGGAAGGAAAACTTACACAATAAAAACCAAGGACTAAACGCTTAAGAAACGTACCCTTTTTCAATGAATCATAACTCAAGGTTCATGGCATTCATATAATCAGTGAAGAAAGCAAAGCTTGTATCTTTACCTGAGTCGAAGTCTCCTGAAACAATACCCTCTTTCAATGAATCATACGCAACATTCTGCAAAACCAAATTACTTCTAAACTTCAAACCATAAAGTAATGCCTTAAGGAAAATTAAAGTTTCAAGCTTCCATTTGGCTGGCAACTTTAAACAGAGTTAATAGAGCTAAATAAATACCTGGCCGAAATGAAGAAAGCTGTGATTGTAGAGATTGTAAGTGACATTTCCAAATTTAACAGCACGAGAGAACTCGGGAGGCACCGGCTCACTTGAAACAAATGTCACCTAAAATAAAATTGCACTGAACATTATCAGACAACCAAAAATTAAAAACTTCAAATTGCTAACTGCTTGAACCATGCACAACTCTCCCAACTCTTTTCTCTGTTATTTTTTTCAGTAAGTTAGAAAAAACACCTCAAGAGTTTAACTAGAGTTAAAAAACAACTCAGCAAGCCACTTTTCGTTTTCTAACTAATTCTTACTTGCGAAATTCCCTTGTTGTTATTCACCCATTCATCGTCAGCCGGATTTTCCTCTAAAAGCATTGTACTTGAAGCATTTTTCTCTAAAATGTACTATTATCAAGGACTATTAAGTGAAAAGACCTAAACTTTTTAGTGCTTGTGGATGAAGAGATACCTAATCATATTTCCCAATACAACACCAATTCCCGATAACAGATAGAAGTCACCTAACCTGAGCAGAAGCTCCACCAAGTTCAATTATCCCAGTTGTCTGCATTGGATCACCACCCAGAGTCCCAAGTGCGTGGTTTGCAACAACCCAAGCATATAATCCTTCATCAGATCCTACATCAACCAGAATTTTCAGCAATACGAATTTGAAGACTAACTCCGAAAGTAAAAATCTACGAACTTGAAGTTAACATAAAACTAACTAAGAACATCATTGCAAACAATCTTATAAAAAAAGAAGAAAAGTTTGCGACTTTAACTAATGTGGGATTTGGGGAGAGCAAGACATACAAAATAATAACACTGTTTCTAATGATTACAGATTTAGGCATTATGGCTATTCCTAGTAATTCAAACTTCAAACCTGATCTGGTAGACGGTTTTGAAGAGAGAGATGGGCGATGGAGGTAGCTGCTGCAACTGGGTATGCAGTTTCTGCCTCCCAAACTGATCAAATGAAAAGAAAAAAAAGTTGGTGACTTTGCGCGACGCATGCCCACCTACGTCGCGCAAAGGTGGGAAAAAGCGGTAAATTCTTAGGGTTTGGCGCCAAAAGTTTGCGTGACGAAGGACTACGTCGCGCAAAGCCGTTTTGCGCGACGTACGTACACCTACGTCAGGAAAACGGCTTTGCGCGACGTAGTTTTATGCATCGCGCAAGTTTTCGTCGCGCAAACATGTTTTTGTACTAGTAGTCACACATTCTTCTTGCTAGTACAAGAATGAGAATAGTAAAGGGTTAAAATTTGAAAACAAAATTGGCTTTGAAAGTCCTAGTTTAAAGTCCAAGTCATGGTCTGTAATTTAAAAGAAAGCACGTTTCAAGTACCCAAAAGTTGTGTACGTACGTTAAAGAATGGATAAGGCTTGCGTTCCACCTATGAGGAATGAACATATTCTACAAATTTTATATTGTCATCGTTCGGTTTCATAATCTTTATTTGAAGATCATCAAAACAAAAACAATTATTTGAATCTGAGATCGTTTAGTCATTTAAATATATGAACCCAATCGACAGTGTAGACACTAAGTAAAAGATTTATAACGAACTATTTTTATTGATACATTTGGATGACTAAGCAGTCTTCAATTGGAATAGTTTTTTGTATATATGATATTCAAATTAAGATTAAGAAATTAATAACTGATACTACAAAAATACTTTATTTATAAAAAAAAAAAATATTCCTTGAGTTGAAAAGTAAGATAATGTACACAACAGTTCGATGGATCTCATCTTAATTTGAAATGATCAATCCTTGAGTTACCCTTGAGTTTTCCAGCAAAAGAAAATGTTTTATGTATTCGGAAACAAAGAGTCATTTATTTGCATGTTTATATTATGTCTGTCCAACTGTTGAAGGGCCTAACTTTTGAAGTTGAATATGGACGATTAGCTACAGAGACTTATTCAAACTATAGAAAACTATTTGACACCACAAAAAAGTAGAAATTTATGACTAGAATTCTTTACGTAAGTACATAATCGATAAAGATGAAGAATTTAATCTTGATCTTTTACTTCTTGTTAGAGTTTTAATGTTGAATCCGTGAACCCAGTGGTTTTGTGAAATTGTTTTTCCACGCAAATTAAGAAGGCATCGAAATAGCTAGGTTCTCAAATTGGCTATTTCGCTCCTAAAGATTGTGAAAGGATACCATTGGGGTGGCTTCTTCTTGGTAGTACAAGAAATTGATTAGCTGTTTCAAAAAACTGGTTTTTTATTAGCTTACATCTATTTATTTTGATTTAATATTTTTTTACAATTCAAAAACACAAAATTTTGACCCCCCCCCTCTAATTTTTCTAATTTTTTTTTCTTTATTTGAATTTTTGGGACTTATATTGAATTTTAATGTGTCTCACAACCTGAAGGGATTGGGAGGGAGGGTCATTTCATTTTTGGATATAGAACGAATAGGTTCAGGAGATGAGAGAATTAAGGATACGCACCAGAAAGACTATCCAATGCATAATGATGTGCCAAAAAATAGAACATTTTTGTTACCCAACCAACCTTTAGGAGAAGCAAATGCGACACGTAGACTAATAGTAAAATTAAAGAAGTAGCATTTAATGTAAAAATAGCCAATAGGAAAGCAATAGTCATGTTTCTAATCCTCCAATCTACCAACAAAAGAATTATACCATTTGATCCCTTTATCAACCAAAAAATTGTACACCTTATGTACTACTTTGGGTAACCCTCTCAACAACTAAGAGATCCATTCGCTGAACAAGGCGACTAGTTGAAGTACGGATCCTCCCAATATTGGGAGTATCCGTACTTCAATTGAGCTGATGACAAATCATTTCACCATTTTAGTTGGAACTTTAGGTGGTTCTCAAAAAAAGATAGCGAAAAAAATTATTCCTAAAGTTTAGACTAAAAGGAATGTATAAACCAATGCTTCCATATATTCGATCGTGGTTTACAATTATATCTTCCATACCTGTTTATTTGGGATCGTCTCCCAGGTAAATAAAGAACAAGAGTAAAAGAAAAGGCAGTGATTCAAATCTAGATTTATCTGGTACCCTATCTAAAAATCACAAGAAGAAAATAAAAAAGAAAAGTAACAAGTAACAAAACATATTGTATCAGACTACTTGTCTTCTTGTAGTTGGATCTCCAAGCTTTTGGAATGCTCCGAATTCCAGTTGAGCATCTAAATCTGGATCAATACCAGCAAAAACATCTCGAAACAAGGTTCTAGCTCCATGCCAAATGGATTTAGTTTTTGTCCCATAATCCCCCACTACTATATATATCGTGCAACGTGACATTTGTCTGTATATATTTTTTTATTCATTCGATTTTTTTTTAAGCATAACATAATATAGCGTATTTGTATAATTTATAATATAAAATATTCTTCCTTTAAGCATTCCTTAGCTCTGATTTATTGAATTTCCTTTTATCTATTTCTTCATCTTCATCGAAAGATATATCTTTCAATGTTTATGTTATTTTATAGGTTAATAGGTTATTTATCATTGTCATATTCCCCAAAGTTTATGTTTTGGACTGTTTAAATTGTTCTAGTTAACGTAGCTATGATCCTATCAGTTTTGGCTCATTATGTATGGATTCGAAAGGAACAACGAGATTTACAAAAGTAAATGAGCACATGGGGATTTGGAAAAGTATTTACGTCTAAATAGATAAAATATAGATTTAAGAGCTTTAGGAAAATTTGATATTTGTTGTTTGTAACATACTTCGTCCATCCCAAAGTTACCGAGCACCGGTCAACTCTGTACCTTCAAGGACCCACTGAAGATTTGATGTGGAGGCACTCTTGCCAAAGCACACGAGTTCCTCTCCAATAAAAAGACCAATCACAAAACGACACATGTCAACATCAGAATAAAGCTCCTAGATTCCCAGATCAATTGTGGACAGGACCCGAAAACTTTCCGCATCTTTAAAAGGAGATTGTTCTCTTGCAATTAATTTCTAATGTCTTTATTGTACTTAAACTCGTCATTAGAACTCACTAATGATGATTATGCTTAAACCTATGTATTGTGTAAACTCTTCACTATTAATAAGAACTCATATACCCTCATGGACGTAACCTATCTTAGGTTGAACCACATACATCTTGTGTTTGCTTCCCTACCTCTATCTTTTTACATATTATCCTCACCAGGTGACCAGACCAACCTTGCGAAGGTCACAACCTTGTCACTTAACGTTGTTCCAAAGTCTAACTGATTTTGCGTATCAACATTTGACACCGTTTGTGGGAACGACACTAATTCCTACTCTCACCAGCTTTGTCAGACTGGTTTCTCTTTGATAAGGCATCGCTCTCCAACATGGGGAGTGAAGGAAAACACAGCATGCAGAAAAACACCCCTTGCATGCCTAGTGTGAGGCCGCGAATGAGGGAAAGGAACAAGCCTGTTCTTCAAACTAAAGTCCAAGAGGTTAGAACTCAAAATAAAATAGAAAAAATGGCGATACGGAATGATATCCTCCAACAGCAGTATGTGAAGCTCTTCGAGATGTTTTACGAGGCTATACAGACTCAGTCTCAAGAGTCATTGCCCTCTTGACAGCGGATCAACACATAGGTACCTACGCGAAGTTTCACATGTCTTCAACACGGGGATTCTTAATAAGGACTGGCCTTCTACCCAAGATATTGATCAACACGAGACTTCTCTTAACCCAGCTGCTTCAAATTGAAACAAGATAAGTGGAAGAGGACATCTCCTTGCAAAGGATTGGAATGATCAAAACCTGGTTATCGCGACTGTCAAGACCTCTTGAGGCATCGTCGAGAAAAACCTATCCATATAGACTCAAGGATCATTGACCCAAAGGTCATCGAAGGAATCAGTCCGTTACCATAACCAAGGTCAACTACTAACCTAAGGAAGAAACGACAAGACTTAGATGGACAAGAAGGTGTTTGAGTCTCGAGGAACTTCCAACCGGAATTTCCTTGAAGCAAGTATGGTAATCCAAAAAAAAGTCACATACTCTTGACTAAACTTCTCCACTTCCAAGAAATGATGGAAACTTACGAATGAGGGTTCCAATAGTCCCTGACTCCATTCAAGACCCCATTATCCTGCAGTTTTTTGAGGAAGTGAACAGACTAAAGGCCAAACGCCATGCCAAGGTACCTGACTGGAATTAGCCGAAGCCAGGCCCTCTGACAAGAAGGATCTTTGGCACCCCTCTACAAGGAGAAACAAAATAGACGATTGGTTTACTATCATAAATTTTGGGGGGGGGGGGGGGGGGAAGATCCAATTGAGCATATCCATCTCTTTGAATCCACCATGGTATACCGAGGCATAGTAATGAAGAACGATGTCTCATTTTTCCCTTCATTCTATCTGTGGGAGCTCTCAATTAGTATTGTTGTCTTCAACCTGATACAATAGATTATTTCACCAAGCTTAAGAGACTTTTTGTGGTGCAACGCATCTTCTAGGCTGATTGCTTACACTCCGCTAAACATTTATACACCATTCGTCAGAAGTCAAACTAGTCATTATGTGAATATGCCCGTAGCTTCAGCCACAAGTATTCTCTTGCGTTGTGGTAGATTATAAAACAACAATAAGTGTCAACATACACTTTTTCCATTCGACATGTGTTACAATGTGCCTCGACAACTCGTCATTATTCTCACCCACTTGGTTATGAAGGAACTCATATTCGTATCACTAACCAAGTGATAATTTTTTCCTTTGGCAACTTACCACCCTTTCCACCAACTAGGTAATGAAAGAACTCACCTTTGTCCACTAACTAGGTGATGGAAAGTACAACCAGTACTCCACTCTTTTCACTAACCGGGTAATAA